AGAGCTCTGATACCAATTTGTCACGATTCCGGTTCGCCCTCCGTAAACCATCGTGATGGCACCTAGTCTCTACGACTAGGTAAGCCTAAATTGCGGAAGAAAAAACAAAATTTGTGGAAGTAAAACAATTTAAAACAGGAATAAAGTAATAATAGTGTTTAAATGTGTCACTCGATATATACCATGTTTAACTCTCAATATCAATACGTAAATCTAAGACCCGTAAACCCACAAATCACAAGCTAAGATCAATACTACATAGCTCTAACTCCGGAATGTCTAATAAGAATAGGAAAAAAATTACATAAGGGCTAAATACTAAAAGCAGGAATAGAAAGGGACTTCTCGGTCTGCGGATGCGGTGTACCTCGAAGTCTCTAGAGCAGTCGCCTCCTCAAGGATGATAGGACTGAGCAGCGGTACCTGGATCTGCACATGAAAAACATGCGCAGAAGAGGTATGAGTACACCACAGCGGTACTCAGTAAGTGTCAAACCTAACCTCGGTTGGGTAGTGACGAGGAAGGTCAGGGCCCTACTGAGGTTAAATAAAATAATAAGGTCAATAGTATATAACAGAATAGTATAAATAAGTACAGCAGTGAAATAACACAGGAAGTACAGGACAACAACAACTATACAGAAACAAGGTAAATACGGAAAGAAAATATAGCTCAGCACCAATCATAAAAATCAGGGATCTCCCAAGATACCGTCTTGTAGTCCCATATGTACATATCCAATGGATCTTCCGGGATCTCGTCCCATAGTCCAACTCATAGTGCGCGGGGATCTACCAAAATTCCGTTCCGTAGTTCCAAATATAAATACCCAGTACTTGGGAAATCTATCGGGTGCATTCCCATAGTTCCATATAACTGTGCAGGGGGATCTACCGTAATCCCACATCCGTAGTCCCAAAATAAACAAGCAATGGGGAGCTACCGGAATCCTGCATCCATAGTCCCAAAATAAATACATAGCAGCAATTTCATATTAAGGCAACAAGTGATTCTAGCCTAGCGTGCTGCAAAGAATTCAAGTAAGGCAGGTTGAACAAATAAAGCAATTAAGTCACTTAGACATGCTTTCCTAAGCTAACAAAAGGTTTAATAGTGCAAGTAATAGAAACAGGAAAGGAAACATGCTAGTAATTACTTAAAGGAAAATCGGATTTTCAATAATTAGCACAAGTATGCACTTGTCACCTCACGTACAAGGCATTTAAATTACCAAATATACCAATCCTAAGGGAAAAGTCCCCCACACAAGGTTAGGCAAGCCACTTACCTCGAACAGGCTCAAAAATCATCTGAAACCACGTTTTTGCCACGAGTACTCGACTCCAAATGGCCCAAATCTATTCAATTCAATTTCATAATGTAAATAACACTTTAAGTAACTGATTCTACAATTAAAGTCTAAGCTAATACGCGAAATTATGTAAAATGACCAAAATGCCCATCGGGCCCAAGTCTTGAAATCGGGTAAAATTTATAGTTTCAGAATCCTCAAACTCTCACGAGTCTAACCATACCAAAATTATTCAAATCCGATGTCAGATCCTCAATCAAAACTCAATTTCTTGGTCTAATAACCTTTCTCCAATTTTCATACAAATTTTGAAATTAAAGGATGAATTCATGTTTAGATTAATGGGTTACAAGAAAAATGGAGTCTAGAATCGTGACCCAATCGATATCTCTGAAAATCCCTCAAAATCTCGCTCAAATCCGAGCTCCCAAGCTTAAGTTTTGATAAAAATGGCTAAACCCTCGATTTTGAAATCTTATATGTACTCAGGTAATTCCTTCTTCACGAACGCGAGGCTACTATCACGAACGCGATGCACAAAAGTCTTGCTGGCCAAATCCCTCTTTCGCGAATGAGAGGTCCACTCACAAATGCGTAGCTTACACGGGCAGACCTTACGCTAACGCGAGGACCATGTCGCGAGCGAAGACCAACGGGTTCTTACCTTCGCGAACACGGGACATCATCGCGAACGCGATGCACATTTCAGCTGCTTCACCCAGATGCTCTACGCAAAACGCGAGACCCCCTCGCGAACGCGAAGAAGGTTTTCTTTGCAACACAACATCAAAAAATATGCAATCTTTCCAAATCCAAAAATGGTCCGTTGAGCATCCGGAACACACCCGAGGCCCCTGGGACCTCAACCAAACCTGACACTAATCCTAAAACATCATTCAAACTTGTTCCAATCTTCGGAAGGTTCAAAACAACATCAAAACACCTATTTTTCATCGGATTAAAGCCTAAGAATTCCAAAAACTCTAAAAACATGCTTTCGATCAGAAAGTCTATCAAACCTCGTCCAAATGACCTAAAATTTTGCACACACGTCACATTCAACACTACGGAGCTACTCCAACTTCCGGAATTCCATTCCGACCCTCGGATCTAAATCTCACTATCGGATCGGAAACTTCAAAAATTCAACTTTCGGCATTTCAAGTCTAAATTAGCTACGGACCTCCAAAACATAATCTGAACACGCCCGTAAGCCCGGAATCACCCAACGGAGCTAACAAAACCACCGGATTTTCATTCTGAGGTCATCTTCACACTTTTCTAACTACGGTCAACTTTCCAATACTTAAGCTCTCATTTAGAGACTAAGTGTTCCAAAACTCTCCGAAACTCGACACCGAACATCCCGGCAAATCAAAATAGCAGAATTAAACTTGAAAAAAATAGTTAATAGGGGATCGGGGCATTAATTCTTAAGAAGACCGGCCGGGTCATTACACAACATATCCTGGAGAATGCCATTATTCTTCTCCTTCTCTTTTGCCAGCTCAGCTCTGAGAGCATCTCTCTCAGTCTCCATTTCTGCCAACCTCTTCTTCAGCCCTTCAATTTCAGCATCCTTAGCCTCACTTTCTTGTACCAAAGATCACACTTTGTTATTCACAAGTACCTTTTTGGATGAACCAGGTTCTTTGGGAGTGGTGTGAACTTCATAGTTACAAGCAATTAGAGTATTTTCCCAAAATGATCCTTGCTTGTACCAACTTCTCATTTCTTGATGGGTACTTTGAAGTGTGTAAGCACAACCGTGAGAATAAAACCATAAGGTATGGCATGAGTTTTGGTGCCATTCATAACCCTATCAAGAAGTTAGATGATAAATCCATGCCAATTGATTTGCCTCCCACTGTCCAAATATTCCATAAGGACTAGGTTCATGAATGTGGCAATGTGCCTCCTTTCCTGCATAGGAATCACAACTTTGTTAACAAATTCGAACATCACTTTGTGGGGTGGCTTCATCTCACTTTTGTAAATAGCCTTGGGCTCAAGCTCTTCTTCATTGTCACCAAACTTTCTAGTAATGGCAAGGGCATAGGGAGATTCTCTAGACTTGACCATTTGAGCTTCTTATAATTATTGTACCCTTCAGTAGGTACACCTAAGATCTCTCCCAGTTTTTTATCATTAAAACTCATTGTCACTCCCTTTACCACGCTGGTGACCCTACCATCTTTGATCTCACAATTTGCCATGAACTCCACAATCTCAATTCTGGCAAACTTTCCATCTATCTGAAGAACCATGTCCTTCCAACCCTGCAATTGTAACTTATCCAGCAACATTAACATATATTCTTCCTCCAATTCCCTGAGGAGTCTACCTTTCAAGATGTTTCTCTTCCCAAACTTAACCATCTTGTCCTTCTCAACATCATATTCTTATTCTTCTTCTCCACTCCATTCTTCTTCCTCCACTATTTTTACTTTTATTGATTTCAATGCAGACTTGGTTCTTTTAGCCAAAATAGATGGCTCCGCAGACTTGCTTTTGAAACAGACTTCTTTGTGGAAGTCTTGGCTTTCTTTGCCTTTGGAGTCACAACCTCCATTTCTTCTGTCTCCTATTCATCCCCAAGGACCAGGTCCATCTCGTCAATTTCAGTTGCCTCAACAGGCTCAACCATCTTTTTCTTTCCCTTAGCAGCACCTTTCTTCTTACTTTCTTCTAAGGCCTTTTTCCAGTTCAGCCTCACTTAGCTTCTTCTGACTCCTTGTTATAAATAAACTAGCAATATGAGAAGGACAATTTTTGTTGGTGAAAGCTTGAAACAAAGGGATATTGGTGCTTACAATAAGCTAGTAGTAAGGTCAGAACAAAGACGGGTCTCTAAAAGAAGCATTAGAGCCGAAGACAGGAAATAGTTGAATCCGAAGGCAGTGATCCTGTCTGTTATGAGAGAGAATGAGACTCATAAAGATAAAATAAATGCCTGCGACCCGATAGCATTTAATGAGGAATATTCTACAGCATTAAGTACACGGCCGCTACAAGGAATATGTCATTTACTACCCGCTATTACACATTCTTCAATGGCCCTCATAATTGACATTAAAGAGTGGCTTGATCCTAGGACCTTGTTCCCTAGGTGCAACTATAAATAGTGAGCTCTATTATCATTGTAAAGGATACAAATTTTCTGGCAAACATATGCTACACTCTATTCAAAGCTCAATATAATTCTATCTTCTTGTTTATCGATATCGTTGCTATTGTGCCCGGAAACCCTGCTTCTGGAATTATTATTTTTGTTATTTTTTCTCCATCTCATGGCTAAGTATTACATTTTGTCTAATTCATTTATTATTTTAAGATCAAATTAATTCACTTGTCTATAAACCATGTATAAATTCAACTATACCGTTTTACGGGTAAACTTGATTTTGTTTTGGATTTATTTTTCTATATTTTGATTCCCCTAATAAAAATTATAGCTGCTCCACTATTAAGAAGTTTTAAAATAATTTAGTTACGGGACTATATTGATATGTGCAACAGAAGAAGTAAAGGAAAAAATGACAGAAATGGCAAAATGGGAAAAGAACAAAATAGGAAATTTGGTGAGCGCAGAAATCAAAGTGTCTACACCATTTAAAGCAACCCAGCGCATCATAGTAAACAGTAATACCTTCTGTTCGTAGTTGTTATTTTACAAACTATCTTCACAAATTATGAGTGAGCTGGACCAATTAGAACAGAGAAGAATCAATAGATATAGAGGATTGATAATCACATAGCGTATTAATTATTTTAAATTGTCTCAGATTTTTGGTATTCAGAATTGAGTGTACTATATGTAGAAGAGCCAAACTCAACTAGTTTTCTATTGAAGAGTGTAATAATTGTTGTATTCTCAAAGATTTCAATTTTTATTCTGGAAAGTAGGTCTTAGTTTTTGCTAGTGAAAGGCTAAAATGGAATATAGAGGATTGAGACAATTAATTTAGAATTGAGGTGTTATTGTTGTGTTGTAAAAGTAGAAGAAAGAGGAGGTGAAGATGAAGAATAAGGGAGAGGATGTAGAGACACCATTTTCATTAGCAAAAGACTTAACAATTAGTCTTTTAAGGGTGATTTTAATGTTGATCATATTTGTAGTTGGGGTAGTAATTGGATTGGCTTCAACCTCACATATGTACTTTACTTTGCAACCTCAGCAGATTATTATTGCAAATAATGCATTGGCTAATACAATGAACCAAGATAGTAGTGGCAATTGTAAAAAGGAGGATTGTTTAAGCATGGGAAGTTTCTTTTGGCCCAAAGTATTGATACATGGAATGTCGGACGATGAATTGTTTTGGAGAGCTTCATTGGTGCCTTACAAGGAAGAGTATCTATTTAAGAGAGTACCTAAAGTGGCTTTTATGTTCTTGACTAGGGGAGATCTACCATTGTTGCGATTGTGGGAGAGGTTCTTTGACGGGCAGGATGTGAACAAATACTCGATATTTGTTCATTCGCTCCCAGGATATGTGCTTAGTGTTTCCAATACCTCAGTTTTTTACAAGCGCCAGATCCCAAGTCAGGTACGATTTCTGGCTGACTCAACTGTAGTTTGTTTATTGATGTTCTTTCGTGCTTATTTTGTGCGAGGCTAAAGGTATCATATTGCACTGATCAGTGATCAGCAATGGAGCACAGTTACCTTCTTGCTGCAAGCATCGAATTTCCTGTCTCCCGGAAAACTTTTGGTTTGTGAATAAATGAAAAATATGCTGAACTGTGTTCAAGCCGTGGAAAATGGGAGCCTTGGCGTAACTGGTAAAGTTGTTGTCATGTGACCAGGAGGTCACGGGTTCAAGCCGTGGAAACAGCCTCTTGCAGAAATGCAGGGTAAGGCTGCGTATTATAGACCCTTGTGGTCCGGCCCTTTCTTGGACCTCGCGCATAGCGGGAGCTTAGTACGTCGGGCTGACTTTTTATGCTGAACTGTGTAATATGTTACCTCTTGTGAGGTAAATGGATGAGAATTTGGTTTAGAAGGTGTACTGAGTGTTGCTACTTAATACAAAAATTGAGTTGTGGAGCTGTGGGGGACTCACTCTCATCCAACAATGACATAAGACGAGTTAGGTGGCCGGAGTGCTGTTGATATTTATGTCATGTTTGCAATGGATATTTTTGGAGAAAACAAAAGGAGAAAAACGCTATAGAGGTTATCAACATTTCTGTTGTTTGAGACTGAAAACTGGCTTTTGATTAGTTAGACTTAGTTAGATTACTTGAATTAGATACACTTTAAATACGGATGCCATGAATTACTCTGCTAAACCATTTTTATTCTGCATTTCAGCAGGTTGAATGGGGATCTGTAACACTGGTTGATGCTGAGAGGCGACTTCTGGCCAATGCCCTGCTGGACTTCTCAAATGAGCGTTTCGTCCTTCTTTCTGATAGTTGCATTCCACTTTACAGTTTCCCAACTGTTTACAAGTATCTCATAGGGTCCATCCATAGTTTTGTTGAATCATATGATGATCCTTCTAGTTATGGGCGTGGGCGTGGGCGTTATAACCACCACATGCAACCTGATATCAAACTTTCTGATTGGAGAAAAGGATCGCAGTGGTTTGAGATGAACCGGAAACTGGCTGTCAGAATAGTTCTAGATACCAAATACTACAATATCTTCCGGAAGTATTGCACACCAACTTGCTACCCAGATGAGCACTATATTCCTACGTATATTCGATTGTTCTATGGACCTTCAAATGCAAACCGAACAGTGACATACGTTGATTGGTCATTAGGGGCCTCCCATCCTGCAACATTCAGCGCAGTTAATATCACTGAAGGTTTCATAGAATCTCTAAGGAATAATGGCGCGGCGTGTTCTTACAACTCAGAGAAGGCACATATCTGTTACCTCTTTGCCAGAATGTTTGATCCAAGTGCTCTAAAACCTTTACTGAACCTCTCCTCCAAAGTATTGAAATTTTGAAGAATTGCTCTTGAGAGATGAGGGTATTTTTTTCACCCTTTCCTTACTGATTTATTCTGATAGTATTACTTCTTTTGGCCCATGTATGCAACTTTGCTATTGACTTACTAAAATCTTGTAGTGAAATGTGTAGAATCATCAGAGAGGTTTTGTGTATATGAATAAATGCAGTCACCTAGTGAAGAACTAATAATCAAGAGTTTTATTAGTAGAAACCACCAATAAATACATATTATGAGATTAGGGCAGGTTGAAACCACAGCTTAACAACTACGGCAGCAGCGGGTTGGAACACAAAACTGCATTTTTTTCCTGAAGAACTTTACATACTGCATATCAGATTTTACCAACCATTGTATTATTTTTATCCCTGTAAAACTAGTACCCTTTTCTGTCATTGCACAAGATGCAAAATACAGCTATAGTCTTGCGAATCTATTTCATGCAATATCTGCTGTTCAAAAGAGATTTTTTAAAGCTATTATCGCGTAAAATCTACTCTTAAACTAGATTGATTTTTTCTTAGGCATGAGAATACTTTTCAGAAAAATAGTATAATCTGAAAACAAATAAAGACCAATTAGAGCTACTATAAAAGCAGACATCAATTAATGTGAGAAACAAGAAAGAAAAGGAAGAGGAAAGACAGTTATACCAACCAGATAAAAATCAACAAATTGATTTTGATAAAATTTACGTACCTTACACAAGCAACAGTCTTTAGGCAAAAGAAGAAAAAGGTATTTACAAATTGCACAAAACTTAATCTTTAGCAGACTCAACCAAAGCGTAAAAATCGGAGAGGTAAAAAAAAATGATTGTAGGAAAAGTAAAGAACAAAAAGACTTGATTTTTCCTTCCCGCGCTAGAAAATGCTGCATGAACCATACACCATCGGTGGAAAGCTCTTCATGGATTCATCTTTACATGCTTAAGGTAAAACGGATCATATTGCTGCTTCTTCATTTATCTTTCTATCCGCGCTGTAATAAATTTACGCACTCTTCTGTACACATTGTATACACAAACGCTGCTTGTTTTGTATAAGGTGATCGATCATGTACTAGCCATGAGGTTCAGTTTCTTGGTTTTGAAATGGATCAACCCAACATTCATCTTCCTTGCTAGCTTTAACCCACCTTTCCCAGAAAATCTTCATTTCGATAGAGGATCGATTTCTAACCTGCAGTATGTTATAAATAAACTAGCAATATGAGAAGGACAATTGTTATTGGTGAAAGGATATGTCGAAAAGGTGAATTTGAACTCACCAGGGATCTATTATCAAATTTCTCATAAAGTGCAGTTGCCTGCAAAGCACAAAGAGTGAAATTTAGACAACACAACCAAAGACGAAGGGCAGACACAATTAAGGAATTCAGATTTGAACGTCTCACCGATGCTTCTGAATTGGACGTATTCTTGCTTTGTGGAGAATGATCTGCCAGTTCTTTGCTCGACTACAGAAATTAGAACCAAACACTGTGAGACAAGCCAAAAGCTAGAACTCCATTATAACCATTACCACAAGAAGCAAGCATGAAAGAGAGAGGACTAGTTACAAACAAATGTTTCAGTTCTACTATCATAATAGAAACCACAAACTATATTGATAATCACAATGTTTAATGTTACCATTATGTCCATTGCATGCTCTCTCACAGGTTCCAAGAACAGTGCATAAATGGCAGCATTACAAACTTTACCCATATTTAGTTGCTCCGGAGAAAATCCTTAACTTCTCAAACAAGAAAAATCCAAACCCCGTCACAAAAAAAGAAAAGCAGAAACAGAACTATCAGATGATATATGGATCAATATAACTGCAAAGGACGTTGTAGTTACACGAAGTTCACTCATTGGTGATTACAGACACATTTATAACTTTAGGAACTTTTCGTATTGTACACCAATAAACACTTTCTAATATGCAAAACTGTGCAACATTGTAATCCTATTTACTGATGAAAATAAAGAGGTAATCTGCACTAATTTAGTGGATAAAGAAGTAAGCCACCAGGGTAGTAGATGAAACAACAAACAGCGTGGACCAGTTGTCAACGTCTGTTCTCGTGAAGAGAAGATGATCAAACAAGACGAAGAAATTACTTGCCTTATTTCCATCTGAATTACCACCACCTAGTGTAGGGACACCCAGATGAGTTATGTATTCTGCATCAATCACGCCGACTTTCTTTGTACGATCACCCTGAGAACTAAGAACTTATGTGTTACCATCATACCAATTGAAGACCCAAAAGGAAGAGTTATTCAAAAACACTAGTTTAGGAATTTGCCTGTGCACAATAACCAAGCTTCTTATCCAGGCCCCAAGCATGGATCAAATCATTCTGTCGATAAAAGAATAATTAGTTAAAGGCAAGCACAATTTTCAGCCACAAGATTATCAGGAAATTTTAAAAGTATATTATCATTATGCAGATTCTCGGTATAAGCTACACGTAATCAACAACTTTGTTATATTTCAACTTGATTACATTGTTAACCAAAGCTCCTATACCTGGACCATATACCAAGCACAACGCCAGGCAGCTTTTGAGAATACAGGAGCCATCATTTCCACCCACCTGCATGACAGATTTACTTGCGGAATAAAAATAAAGCTCATTCTGACTGGTGACCATAATAAATATTCCAAGCCATAAGAAAAAAAAGAGTATTAGAGCTACCAGATTTAGTTTGAGCGGAACTTGTTAAGCTGATAATAAAGAGAAGGAACAGTTTATAGTTCTTTACCCCACACAAGGAGGCGCTGTACTGTTGTTATCACACCTCGAGGAACCTTTGAACCTGTAAAACCTCCTATTGAAAGCATCAAAATTACAAATCAGTTTTGGCATGAGATTCTTCAAGCAATAATTAAGTAAAAATGTGACTTCTCTAAATGAGATGGATATACACTTCAACATGGTATCAGCCATCCCTATCCCTATTCTTGATTTACCCAATGTTGGGCCCCATGTTATGTATCCAACAATCTACTAGAAAATAGACAGGTGTTCCAACTAAAACACAAGTAGATACAACAACAACAACAACAACAACAACAACAACAACAACAACAAAACCCAAAACAAACCCAGTGTAATCCCACAAAGCGGGTTCTAGGAGGGGTAGAGTGTACGCAGACCTTACCCCCACCTTGTGAAGGTAGAGAGAGGTTGTTTCCGTTAGACTCCCGACAGGACAGCGAAAGGATCAGCATATAGTAAAAGAAACCTACGGATAAGAAGGTATGAAGATAAGAGATTAATACTAATGCTACCGGCATGAAAATGAGACACTACCGCCTATCTACTAACCTTCTACCAGAATTCCCAACCTCCACACACCCCTATCAAGGATCATGTCCTCTATAAGCACCAGTAGATGTTGCATGAAAACTACCGCTAATCATAAGGAGAATAATGGTTTAAAGAAAGAAACTGTTTGAACTTTTTAACTTAAAACCAACTACATTTTCAGCGAATTTTCAATCTCACTAGCCAAATCAAGTAAATGAGATGAAAGAAGAGAAAGCCAAGCGCAGTAGTCTTTGGTCCATGAGCTCTAATTCATATAATTACAAAGTTCAGCTACTCAATAGCTCTTCCACTCATAAAAGATTAACTCTGTCCTACCAAGTTGAAAATCTGTCTAACCTGTGTACTCTAGAGTTCCTTCTGCGTACAGTAATAGGATGATGAACTTCTGATTTACCAAGATCAAGTGCAGGCTGTGATATCTCCAACCCTTCTTCTCTAACAATAGATAGATACCTGGAAAGGACAATGGCCACTAAAAAGGTTATTTCAAATGGCAAACTAATAGGCCTAAATACCTAGCAATCTCTTGTGAATTATCAGTTAGGTACCCACTTCTCTTGAGCATGACAAAATATTTATAATTTCTAACAAATATTAAGCAGTTGTTTTGCTAAACCACCCGACAGCTCCTTTAACACAGATTTCAGATGTTCAAGTGATGTATTTTCATAATGTAGCTGAAAATGAGGCACTAACTTGTCTGGATGAAAGCTTTCAACTCCAAGGTCCTCATCCCACAAGAAAATGTAATCATACTCAGAAACTATGTCAGGGTGTAGAAACCTCTTCGCAAACCACCTATAACCAGAGAGTTAGATGTGTGAAAATCTGCACAAAACTTACAGTAAACACAACGAAGTTGTCCAGAACCAACTTAACCATTTTGTTTGGTTCATAGCAGAGACATGTATGACATGGCTACTCCATTCCAGATCGTTCCATTCATCCACAACACCATCATAGTGAAACAGCATCACAACAAAGTCATGCTCAAGAAACTGCAGCAAGTTATATAACCGATATGAGGAGCAGAACTTATGATCCTATTTTGAAGCCAAACAAGGAGGCAAAGATGAATATACATACCTTTTTAATGAGGCTGTTCACCAACTCTTTTTGCTTTATTCCAACTGCAATCGCCAATAAATTAACTGAATTTGGCGACTTCTTCTGAATGGAAATATTGCATAATAAGCAAATAAAGACACAGAGAAAATAGCAGAAAAAGTTATGCTAGTTATGGGGCTTGTGGACAGATAAAATGATAAAAGCTCTCACAAATGAATTTGGACAACATTGCACCAAGGGAAACATAGTGCAAGCACGACGATTACAACGCATAAATTTTACCTGCAGTATCCTATCACCATTTTTTCCAGATGGCATTCCACATGCCTCAGTAATTCTATCTTTCTTTATTTTTTACTCTTCAAGTTATGGGTGGAAGATTGACAGTTACATCACTATTAGAAGCTTTGCAACATCCTAGATCCAGTGGTTGAGTGGCCTAAAGACAGTAATTATATACATTTTCTATATGAAATAAGACGATCATATTACTAATGTGTTCCTTCCGGACTTGGATATTCCATATTCCATCAACTTTACAACATAAGACATAATTGTGGCATCACCCTTAGATCCTACTTCGACTATCAAAATCAAGGCCCAATTTGTTATCAGAAAACCACGGAGAAGAATAGAGCATTATTACTGGATTACATGAAAAACTTGATAAATCATATATGAAATTGTTTACGTACATCAACATCACCCCACAGAGGGCGCATTTCCAGGTTCGAAGTTTTCGAAACAATTCCTTCAGGAAGCGCCTCACTCCCAAATGGCCTGCACTTTTCCTGTGAGGAATAAATCAGTAACTTAAAAGAAGCCAGAAATCAAAAACAAAATAAAAATAATAGCAAACCTTGCATTTGGTAGATGTATGACTCGTTTCTTTTTGCTGTCTTAACCGTACCTACATGGGAACTTTTTAAGTCAATTCACAGATATGCTAGTGTAATTAAAGAACAAGACATTCCAAATTTATTTTAGTAGACTGGTCTCAACCAAATTGTATTATTTTCTCATAGACTAGGTAGACTTGTCTCAACCAAATTATTCTTTTGTTCTCATCAATTAGGTTGACTAGTTTAAATCCAAGTTATAATTCTTTCTTGGGCATAAATTTTATAAGGTAAATCTTGGACGTAAAATATACTGTCACTACATTTTGCAGTACTGTGCAAGAGCAAGTATGCTTTATCAAAACAAATGGCCACAGGGGATTTTGCCCCAAGCAGTGTCTTTCGTCGAAAAATTTACTAAATATGGTTAAGCAAAACGAAAATATTGGGTATAAATAGAAAAAATAACATCGCTTGTAAAAGAAGGATCAACTGGTTTGCTGGTATATCGTCTTTGAGAGGTCAATGGTCTGAACCCCGTTGATTTAGCCCGAGTTATAAAAAATTTAAGCAGCCTTAAAATCCAAACTTGAAAAGTAATCAAATTTGGCACCTCTTACGAAAAATCCAATGGCCAAATATATGCACTACAAGCAAACCATTCCACAAGTCAACTTCAAATCATTCATCTGGTAAGGCAATGATTTAAAGAGAGAAACTAGGAAATATGCTGAGTAAGCAGTAAAAACTACTTAAGTTGCCTATTAAGCTTTGTAACAGATCTATAATTCAAGCAGCATGCCCAAATTTTACTAGAACCCTCAAAATGAAGGAAATAAGATATTATACATTTAGCTCTGTCTTTTTGGGACAGGCGATTGGAGCATACAAATTTCATATTACCTCCTTAGAATCTTAGAACTAACATGCATGCTACAAAAAGAACTTCCGAAGCTTAAAGCACGCACATACGAAGTACTACAAGAGAACAGATACTAGTTCTTAGGCAGACATAGATACCACGGTGTCTTGGAAAGTCAAGGTCAGAGGAAGCAACCAGAGACCATCTGACATCATAGAACACTGACAAGATAAAAGGGAATCCATGATAACTATGTCTTGGAAAGTCAACGACTAGAGGAAGCAAACAAAAACCATCTGAAGTTGTAGAGAAATGAAAAGATAAAAGACAATCTACACAAATGTCAAGAGAGGACATTTGAATTCTATACTTCTTTATACAACAAGAGTTACAACTTTCAATTTTTAAAAAGATAAATCAAAACTTAATCAATACCTGAGACTTCTGTCTTTGAAAGGGCTTATAAATACAAACATGTTAATTAAAACCAGAAATCAGGTGCAGAATTTCCACAAATGAAAAGAAGCCTACAAATTCATGTTCATTTTCTGAAAAAACAAACCTCACATGTACCACATTGTGCATTCTGTTGTGAGTTGTTCATTCCCAATCCTAAAAACACCTGCAAATACTTGAATTATTAAGCTTATAGTACCAGATCTCATGCAACTACAATATTTTCATACTTGAGATGTTATCCTACACAAAATTATTGACTATTTGGCGACACAAGAAACAAGAAAGCTCCTTCGACCACAAATCAGCGTGCCGCTTGCTAAAGCATGAAATTTGTATTATGTGAATTCACCTGAACCTCAGAGAATGTTATTAGGCTATAGAAAGAAATCCAGGAATAATAAAGTGAACATATTTCGCTGACATGGATATATATCTCAGGTGAACCTAAAGATTATAGAATGACATAAAAAGATTTTTTTTTTTTAAAAATAACTTCAAGTTTGATTGCTCAATGCTCATGGCATATAGCAGCATCACTTAAGCCTAACTCTAAATAGGCATAAAAGGGTTTTAATTGTCCACTTTTATGTTACAAGTAAAAGCATATTTTCTAATTACGCCAACATGAAAGACTGATTAAAACACTCTGCACTCAATCATTCAGTTCTCACAGTTCTTGACCTCTTATATGTCATTCAGAACAATAATATTGATAAAGTAAAGGTTGTAACCCCTGAGTAAACGGTATAGCACCAATGCAATGGTGTGAGGGAAGTCCTTTTTCAATTTTTTGTTGGGTCATCTCATTCTTATTGCCATAGTTTACAAACTCTACTCGCTACGTAGAGAACAAGTTCAGAGACAAGAGCTGTTTTTTCATACACAGAACAATATATGGTAGTCATGCATCCTAAAGCAAGTGAAATTTGATGTTTGTTTACTTGCTTTTACGCAGAGCGTGCAAGGGATAACTAATTTAACACTTCAGCCAAAGAAAAGAACAACACAAGTAGGATTGAACTTTATGTAAATTCTACATATGTGAAACAGATAACAATGAAAGAATGTGACAACTAATTTGTACCCTGAAATCATTGGCCAAAAAAGCGTTTCCAGTGAAGTAAATAGCACAAATCAAAGCAACAGTGATGAAGATGCTGCAGAGACATGATCTACTTTTAGGATCAGGAAGGGAAACCTGAAAAAACGACATGATGATAGATAAATTAGACAAGTACAGATCCTACTACATAATCGCATATATTAAAATAACTAATACATTAAAGAGTATTATCACATCCCAAATTCAATGTCCCGTTTCCTTTCCAAGTAATGTCCATTGACAATGCAATGTCTACAAAACTTGATAACTTAACCCCCCACCCCACCCCAAACCCACGTTTCCCTATTTACGCTGAGCAATACAAAATGTTCGATTCTCATATTACTAGAAGCACAAAGACAAACATTGACATTTTTGTTGGGACAGATGGAGTATCTTGATGATGTGGTTACTATATTTGCTTTTGTGGTAAAAGTAAATCGATAGGAGGAGTTGGTGAATTATCCCACATTAAGTGCTTATCACACACATGTTACCGAAGATGAAGCTCTACATGACTTTCTAAAACACACCAATGAGACTAATGTGGTCAATTTTCAGTGAAAATCTGATGATTGAAAAGAAGAATATACCAGTGGCAGTCGTGATAGGTATAAATGGAGGATCTCTGCTATCAGATATGAGAATGGTTGTACTTCTAGTACTAGCCGTAGGTGCTTGACTATGTTAAACGAATCCTCCATTTGCCTTGACGTACCATTTTGAACGGAATTGATATTGGTGTGGGGTACTTTGTGTGGATCTTTCAAAATATACCAAATATTAGCAAATAACTAGACGTACCCTACCGAATATTTAGACACATCCGCACTGGATACATACTAGTGATGAGTCCAAGTAACATAGTGCTTATACACATTAACCAGGTCAATGGGCAAGACCAGAACTGTCAATCATTTTACAAATTTAAACACTAACAAACAGTTGTCATAAAAGATCTAGCTTCCAGTCGAGAAACATATTACTCCCAGTACTCCTACCCCCTTCGCCTCTCCTCCTTCCACTGTGCTTTTTGGGTTATTGCAAACTTGAAAAGAAGCTCAATTAATTGAATTAACAGGGTACACTGCCTGAGTTCTCTAAGGAAACTTAAAAACATTTCAAGATCTTAAGAGTTATTATCTAAATGTTTAATCTATTAACTAGATAATGTATCTGAAGGGCACAAAAAAAATTAAGAGATGATTAAAAAGTAATTAAACATGAAACAAAAGAAATTGATATATAGGACTAGAGCAAAACCATAATCTACCCGTAATTCCAGAATATTTAGTTAGATGCACTGAACAATTTCTTACATCCAATTAAAAATAATACCACTGGCCAGTGGAACAATCGAGGTGAGCGGCGCAAACGGGCACCATAGTCATTAAAAATAAAATTCTTAAAAATAAAAAACACAACTAAACCCTTCTTACTTTTATTAGTACAGTTCAATAATTCTATTTCTCTTTCAAATTCCCAAAAAAAATGAAAACTTGAAATATATTGGGAAAAAGAAGTAAAAAAAATTATCTTTATTGTTCCCCTGCTGAGTTACCAACCTCAAAGGTAAAGTACATTAACCATGTCAACCTCAAACACCTAAAAGAAGCAAACCATAAATGACTCTTAAAAAAAAAGACACAAACTACCTCCAAAAAAATTTCAAAAAAAAGAAGACAATTTGAACTTAGAAACAGCAATATATAGACAATCATAAGAAGAAAGAGCACAAAAGAAGCCCCATTTAGGAGAAGAAGAGGGACTTACAGAGCTAAAAGGCTTCATCTTTGAATGTATGAAGCTCCAAAACAATCACAAGAGAGCGATTGATTTCTTCAGAAAATAAAAAGTGGGACTTTTTTGGGTGCTTTTCAAGAAAGTGGGAATAGTCCTAATGGAAAAGCAAAGCATAAAGAGAAAGACTAGAGAAAGAAGGCAATTAAAAGGTAGAATTTGTATATTCAAATGCCAAAAAGGGTGAAGTTAGATTCCTTATCTTCCCTAACAGTATTCCCCTCCAAAGCTTTTCAAAAAACTCAACCAAAAAGAAAGAGAGAATTGTTGGAGTTAAACTTAGATGAATAGTATACATTATTTACGAGTACAGTTTAATGGTTAAAGAGACATGTGGTTCTTGAAAAAGCGGCGGAGTTGCACGGTGCTATGTATTGTCGTGCCAGATAGATAACGTGACCGAGCTGTCTTCTCGCCACTATCATATCTGTTACTTTCCTTTCTACATTTTCGCCACATTATGTGGACCCCACTTTGGGACATTCATGTTTTTCATTTTACACGAGAGAAAAGAAAGAATTGGAAGAAAGTGAAAATTAACCACATAGGTATTCCTCAAAGAATAAATTACTCTTATCATTTGGGGCAACCGTATTAGGACAAAAGAGACTTCGGGGTCGTTTGGTTGGGTGCATAACAATAATGTTGAATATGGTGTATTAATAATGCTGGTATTAGTTATGTTGGTATTAGTTATGCTAACATATTTCTTAACTATTGTTTGGTTTGATGTATTAAAGTATTGCACAATTTCTAAAAGAATTATTTATTTACAAAAATGCCCTCAAATCTAGTCCATACTCTAACTTTTTAAAAGAAACATATGTTGAGAAATATTTTTATATGAAAAAGTTTTTAAAAAAATTATTTTATTTGTCTACCTATGTTGTAAAATAAAATTAAATATTTATTTATAAAAAAAGGAAATATGCTAAGTATTTATTTATTTACTAGGGATATAATTTTATTTCTCACCATTTGGATTATTTTGAACTTGCATTAATATACTAACTAGTATATTTTAATAAAACATAAATTTTGAAGGATAATTTTATCTTTAACTAAGCTAATGCATGCATTAAAATCTATTGCATTGCTAATACCATTGTTTTCTATGCATTAGTTATGTATAGGATAATACCAAATAGGATGTATAACTAATGTCTACATAACTAATGCATATGTTCAAAATGTCTACCAAACAATGTATTATTAATACACAAAGTTAATACATGCATTAATTTATCTAATGCATCCTACCAAACGACCCCTTCCAGTGTAAACTCTGATGTTTACGTCCATCTTTTTTAATTTTGTACACTATTGACTATGGAGGACTATAAGTTCAAAAGTGACTTACTATTACTATTTACAATGGATTTTGATGTGATTTTGGAATAATTAATTTCAATTTTATAAATTATATATCCTATTGATATGGGGGTTCATTATGTGTTGTAAAAGTTATTTACGAAATTTATTAAAAAGAAAGAAAGAGAGGAAATGAAACATTTCAGTTGGTACAATGTGCAAAATACTTGTGATTTAAAGTTGAGGGCGAGATCCTCGCATCTTTATATGATGCAAAATATTTAAACTAGGCTACAAGCCGCGGTGGAAGTTATATAAGGACGAGGTCCTTGTGGTGAAAAATTTATGATTTTAAATTCTCCCTTTGTGAAATTAAAATTTGTGTTATAGTATTAATAGGGAGTCATGCTTGTTAGGCTTATTTGATAATTCTTTTATGTGTTTCTGTACATTAGCCATATATGTACTGTAAATATTAAATTTTAGCCTACGAGGTGGGTGCCCATGTGGCATTAAAATGCGATTCGTTAATTCGGATAAATAATTATGAGGTTTTCATGTCTCGCGTGTTGCTGTCAGTCTTATGAAAATTTGAAACGAGGTTTTTGATTAATATGAGATTAATTGAGGATGCTGGAATTAACTATGAACAACTATTATGATCAGAGATGTGATTATGGGCATACGTATAATGTGTGTGTAGGCATGAAATTGCTACAACCGATTGAGGTTAACACGGTGCGTTAATGTGAAGAAAAAAAAGTTAGGCATTTGAAATTGATTGGAGTATAAGGAATTGACTTTAAAGCTTATAAATGTGAATAAAAGAAATAATCTCTCTTGATATAGTGTTGTCGAACCCATGTTAAATTTATGGTGACGTAGAATCACCCGTGAGTATGTGTGAAATGATGCACTCAGTAATTTAATGTCCTCAGAATAATTCTTGACACGTTCGAGGACTGTAAGCACATGATTTTTGCCATATATGAGAATTACTCCCAAAAAATTCAAAAATAAAATGATTTTTCTTTGGTGTACAATTTTGTGATATTTTGAAGAATTATTTGTATTTGTCTGTGCGTGTTTATTCGCTAAATTAATAAAAAATACAAAAATATGTCGCATTTTGCATGTAGGATTTAATTCTACAATTGTTAGTAATTAAAATTGTTTTACAAAAATTAAAAATTACAAAAATAGGCATCGTTTGCATTTTTAGCATTTAATGTCCAAATATACAATTTTATGCTTAATTAATACTTAATTGTGCGTTAATTGTTATTGGGAGTTAATTTGCGCCTTTATAACTTAATTTAGTTCTTAATAATAGTTTAAGTATTTTTATAATTTAGTTTTAGAAAAATAAAAGAAGAAAAGAGAGCGAAAATATAAAGAAAGTCGGAATT